GCTGCTTAAAATTAATTCTCTTTGTAAATAAGTAATTTCACAGTCTCAGATTTCCAGCTGGTGCTGAGTACTGCTCTGTAAAGGTCCTGGTGTCTGAAGAAGGATCTCCTCACCATTTCTTTGCACAAGAATTGTCTCTCTATCTTCTTCGAGTGGGATTGGAGGGGAGAAGGACAGGACATCCTTCAACAGGAGGGAGAATAAGTTTGAGGGTTGCTTGCTGTTCTTGTTTGCCTTTAAAATCTTGGCTTTTTTTGGGTATTTTCTTATCCAAGGCAAATTTCAGTGCTGGGCTGAGCTGATGCTCATTTGAACCTTCCAGATCATCAGGCCTGTGCCATTGGACCTTGAAGCTGTTGCTGTCACTACCCCCAGAGAGAACTAACCAAGCTTCATAGATAATCTTGATCCTGATGGAAGCTTTTTGGCTGGGAAGAAATCTTCTCTGTTGGAACAAGTCTCTGGCCTATTTTAGAGAGTCTTGTCTGTACCGAGTGGTTGCTATTTTCTTAGAACAAGAAGCTATCTTCCAGGAGCTCCTTCTTCATTTTCTTTCAATCATTTAGTTCTTTTCATTGTAAATTAACAGAATCTAAAGAAGAGGCTGAAACTCTTGTATTTTGTATTTGTCTAAGGAATGGCAGAGGAAAATAATCCAATGACAAGAAGAAAACGATTAAGTAATTAAAAAACTTCCAGCTGCTATAGTAACAGCAACACATTTGCCAGATGTCAATTAGCATATTTTAATCTTTCTATTTTAAGATTCCAGCTATTGAAGAAAAGTCTATATAGGTGTGGCAGTCTTAGTAGCTGCTCCAGCCCGTAGCTACTTGGGTAGCCTAGAAAAGAACCATGTCGTATTGCTGCTGGAGGGACTGTTGATTAAATTTATAGAAAAAGCTTTTCCCAGATGTTCTTATGGGGCAGTAGCCCATCCTGAAGATTTGTGGTTTTCTCCGAGACACTTTTATGATGTCCTGTTGGGTACAGGGCACGTGCTGGTCTGTGTGCTAGATTGATTGGAGGTCCTGTGACATTTTTCTTGGAAGGTGGATGAGCCAACAAAGCAGAATGAGAATGTTTTGGAGACTGGGCTTCCTGCCTAATACCAATTCCGTGTGGCTGTGCTGGTCCATGCAGCCAGGACTCTTACTGGAGAGCAGGAGTAAGATGTCCACAGAACCATCCTGCCCCTGTTGACACTGCCTGTAAATGAGTTGAAGCTGAAGTGATAGATGTAGGGTGGAAGAGACTGTTTTTCTAGTTAAACATTTGAAACTGTCAGAGGAGGTGAAAAATGTGTTGTGCTCTTTCCTGTGGCCTTTTCCTCCAAAGAGTCTGTAATGCAAGAAATGGAGGGAAAATGTGCCCAGCGTGGATCAAGTCCTTAGCTTTTCCATGTTCACTTGTTTTTATTGTAAGATAAACCTTTCATGTTTTATTGTTATGAAGTTAAAGCCTGGCCTAGAGGTGCTGATCTTTAGTAGAAACAGCTGCAGACTGAGTGTCCCCTGGTCAGGTGGGAGGCTCTTTGAAGCAACATGTTGCCTCTTTAAAAGGAAATTGAGCATGTGAGAACTTAAACCTGTAAAACTCATTAACAGCTTTGCCATTGTTTATCTCTGGTGTAACTTTATATAGAATTAAAGTGAAACACATTACTTTGCTTCCAAGGCAAGATGGTTTAGCTCCCTCTTAGTCCTGGAGACACAGGAAATGACCACATAACCACAAATACTTTCTAGTGGAATGAAGATGAGTGACAAATTATCCACAAAGAGAGGTTCTTAACCAGATGGGCTAAGAAATCAAATGTAGCTAAAACTTTTGGTTTTAAGTTAAAACTCATGTTTGAATGTTAAAACCAAGCAGAAAAGAGCAAATGTTGTCTATGCACTGGCTGATGAGAGGGGGCAGATTGGAGCATTTCTTGTTGATAGGGTGTTGGGATTAGAAATAGTTTTCAGCATAGACTGTAGTTAGTTACTCAGTAAGAAAAGGAATGAACCTCACTGCCTTTGGACTGAGGGAAGCTATGGTACTTTTTTGGCTTTCTTTCTCCAGTTGCCTTCTTGTAGAGAAAACCGACAACCATTAGCTGTCAGATCTCCTTCTGTAGCAGTTTCATTACTTAAAGCAAGCCCCTAGATATCTTACCATCGTCTTTTTAAACTTATCTCCTGCTGTGCTCCCCTTCGTGCTGAAACACAAGGCAGTGATAGCCCTTAAAATGGCATGAAAATTGCATTTTCATGAGGAAAAAAAAAAAAAAAAAGAATCCTTTCAGATTCACTGCTTCAGAGTAAAGCTTTCTTGAGAAAGGCAGAAGTCAGTCGTGCTGGCCCACATCTGCTCAACAGTGGTGTTGGGGATTAGCGTGGGGGAAGACCTGGGTTTTGTTTTAGGCTTAGGCTGAATTGCAGTTGGCAGAAATAATACATTTTTCACCTCTAAGTGTATCCTGTAGCTTCCCCCATGGCCAAGAGGAAGCAGCATCGATGGTATCTGTGTGGAGCCTTTGCAAAAGGAGCTGAAACGTGAGAGAATGTCTGAAGGAGGTGTAGAGAACACAAGATAATGAAGATTTCTGGATGTAGATGGCAAGAAACTGAATTAGTTTCTTTCTTGGTTAGCTTCCTTGGTGCAGAGTTTTAAGACAAAAAAAAAAAAAAAAGGCATTTTACCACCACTCTGGTAAAAAAGAATGTGGCGTTTGACTAGTAACTTGGAAAATGTGGTGACATTCGAAACTGCCCAGGCTCTGCATTGAGATGATGTAGGATTTGTCATCCTGTAAATCATTTCTCATTGATTAGCTAAACTGTTTGCATTGGCAGAGGGGACCTTTCCTCAGAGAGGAAGCATAGGACCAGGATCATTCAGTGCATGACAGGCCTTCTGAACTGGACAGTTCAAACAACACCTCATGCTGCCTGAACAGAAGGCCATTCCCTCCAGAAAGGCCTTTTCAGACCTGCAGCCCAGAAGAAAAAGGCAGCGTAACCACATAGTGGAGGAGAGGGCTGGCAGAGGGAGCTGGGTCAGGGGGCCAAGCAGTTGTCCCTTGGATGAATTCTTGAAGATAGTAATTATCCTTAATAGCATAAACATTCTGTGAGAGCCAGCACCAGCTGTCTCATAGCAAAGGTACAGCAGGAAGGCTCTGCCTGGGGAGAGGGAGTGGAGGAAGCAGCACTGGTGAACTGCTGCTCTTGGTGCATGATGGCTCTTTCAGTGTGCGCAGAAGCACCAGGCAGTGACAGGGATGAGTAGTTAGCTGTCTCTGCTAGATGCTCCAAGGAGTGTATCTCTCACTGTCTGAACTGCAGAAAGAGCCTGAAGCTCTGAGCAGACACCTGAGGAGCTGAGACTTTCCCCTTAGCTGTGCAAATGATTAGAGTGAAAACCTGACCTTCTGCAAAGTGCTCCCTTTCCAAAATGTCTGGAGGAGTTATGTCAGGACCACTTGGCAGGCAGTCAAAGTTCTTCCCTGCAGTTGCATGTTTTGTATGCCTACTCCAACCTTGTAGTGACCTGGTAAAGTAGTTACCTCTGTCACAACTGAAAAGTTGTAGTCAAATGAAGTGAGTTCTCAAAAGCAACTCTGATTTTCATGGATAGTGAAGTTCTAATAGGAGAGTAAATATAAGGGGGTTTGCTCTGATCATCTGTTTGGTCATCTTTTCTAATAGTCAAGTTTTTTTAATCCATGAAAAACATGGGGTGTTTAGTTAATTTACTAGGTAGCAGTGAGTATTATTTCAATAATCTGTGCCTCAACAGGAACTGCCATTAATGTACTTTTTGCAAGGAAAAAGGTTTAAAAAGCAGAAGGAAACTTAAAAAAAACCCCAACATACTCCTATACACCAAGAGGGTATAGGATTCTTTGGGGTTGTTCTGTACTCAACCCACTTAGTAATGTGTTCAACAGGATCATAAATAAGGATTGCATGCTTTTAGGACTATTTAAAATAAAACAGTATGTCTTTTAATTCATAAACCTCAGTATGCCTTTTAATTAATAAACATATTTTAATATAATTAGATTTCTTGTATTGAGAGAATTGAAACCCATAGCAGGATGTGTTTGCTGCAAAACAAACCTGAAAATATCAAGGTTTTTTTTAAATGAGCATATGCATAAATGTGTTTTTTCCTTAAACTTTCATAATTCTGCACCTTATCTGAAATTCTTGTCTTTGGTGGATATAATTGAAGGTAGAATTTGTCCACTGAGCTCAAGAGTTTTCCCTGTTACATTTATTGAGTCACAAGAGGGGTTTTGCAGGTGTACCTGACTCCTTGCAAAAAAACCACCCAAGCTCACCTTCCAAAGTAAGCAAAAACAATTTTTAAATATGCCAGGCAATTTTTTTAGTGGTGCCAGATCAACTTTATTTTATTTTTTTCAACTGCTGCAGTTATTTCTATATATAGTATAAGGATGTGAAAAGTCATTCATTCCTAATGTGTTTAAATATGCTCCATAATGAATGTTGTGGATGTGAAAGATAAGCAGCCTGGAGCTTTGTTTTGCAAGGTATAGGGTAACACAAAGCATCAAAGTTCTGCTGCCCTCAGGACACACATTGAAGTAGTTAAAGATATTCATCTGCAAAATCTAAAGCTCAAAGACACAATAAGTTTTCATTTAAATGTTTCTCATTTGCTGACAATGGGCCAAATAAATCTTAATTCCACATTGTAGATGGTGACAGCAATTCAGTAACTTTCCCTGGGATGAGAGATCTGGTTTGTTTCCCAAATCTTTATAATAATGGATTTGTATATGTTGGGATTCTAATCTGAATTAGCTGCTTACAGTTACTTATTATTTTATTCCTAATTGCTATTTAAGAACATTTTTGTTTGCTGTGCTGAAATAACATCTAGTCTGATATTCTTGTTGGAACAAAGAATTGCTGTAAAGAACTAACTAATTTTCCATTACTTTGCATTATTTTAGTCCTCACTCTCTGCATTTCTTCTTACAGGTGCTGGGTTTGGATTAGGAATTGTTTTCTCAGTCATCTTCTTCAAAAGTAAGTACACTGCAGTTATCCTGGCTGCCTGGTTTCCTAATTTCTGTCTGTTGTAGGTGTGGTTGAAAAACGAGAGACCTTTAAGGCATGTAAAACTTAATCAGCCTGTTAGACCAATTCTTCCCTGATTGGTTATGTCTTTTCAGTTGAAATGGAGTTACCTAAACCTTGAACTGTTGTGTAACAAGGTTGTTAGACACCAGCATGTCTCTAAGCTCCTACTGTGGTCAGCTCAGATTCTGGAACTGCAGGAAACTGAGCCAAATTACTGGAGCCATGTGTCTAGACATCAGTTCATGCCAGTCTTGCCAGGGTTTTAAAACTGATCTCAATTCTCTTTTAGTTCTGCTTTGGTAACAGAATTATTTGCAGTAATACCAGGTTGCTCTCCATTAAGTTCTAAATTGAGATTTCTCCCTCTTGTTGTTCTGAAGTGATCTGGTTTTTAGCTGATTTTAAGACTCATAGAACTCGAAAATACCTAATATGCATCATCCTGCAATTCATGCTTTTTTGGTGCTTATTTAACAATGGTATCACAGTGATGTGAAATGAACAGCTTTTCTGGATTTGAACTTTTCCTCTCTGCTTGCCTTCCCCCACAGGAAAGACATGGCCTATTGCTTTTGGGTCAGGGATGGGGTTAGGAATGGCTTATTCCAATTGTCAACATGACTTCCAGTCTCCATATCTTCTTCATGGTAAATTTGTAAAAGTAAGTATCAATACTAGTTACTGTTAATTGGTAACTATTTATAACTCAGCATTCAATGATACATCTAGACACCATTTGCATGGATATTCCTCTTCCTTTTCCAAAAGAGCACTAGTATGAAGAAACTTCAACTGAAGCAGGGGGTGATTCCCTTGCTCTTTAGAAGTGTTTAATGTCTGGTGTGTTCAGCAGTAAATATTTCTAGACTGAGTACACAGAATTAGTTTAACAGATCCTGCAGGTAGGTTTTTCCACAAACTGAAAACACATATAATAAAAATACATGTTAGAAAAGCTGAAAAACTAAACTAATGGTAAGATCTAGACCTCAGAACTTTGAAATAAATTAACTAGGAAGAAACTGAAACTCATGTCTTCTGCCTGTGGAAGCAGATCTTTTATCTTCTGGGAGGGGCTTTGCAACATGAAAGCACTAATCACTTTTAAGTTTAGTGGCTTGTTTGGCTGTATAGTAATGTAATAATTAGTCTGAAGAAACTGTACACTTTAAATAATGTTAATGAGAATAATTCAAATTAGTTCAGTATGATCACTGACCATGCTGAGATAAAATATTTAAAAGTGAATGAGCAGGAACCAATTGTGCACTTGCAAACTGCCTGCAGTGCACTAAATCCCTAAACTGACTCTATTAATATTTTCCTTATTTCTTCGCATGTAAAAGATGAGGCTGTTTTTATGGGCATTTGTGGAAAAAATGGAGCATATTTTGAATGCACAAAGCCCTGTCCTGCTGAAAGCAATTCCCTGATACCAGTGGATAGGCATCCACCAGGATGTATTTATGGCTACTTTAAGCACTTCAGAAAGTACTGAGGGGAAATGTTCTGCCAGGAGCTTTTCATGGCAAGTAAAGAGAATGCAAAAATTGTTCATATATTATTAATCAGCCTAACAAAGGAGGCCTCAAGGTGTCATTAGGTTTTGTCCTCATGCATCTAGAGCTGTAAGTTGAGTCTGGACCTCCTTAGATGTACTGGCAGATGAGCTTTTGCCAGCCTTCTGCAGCCTGACTGGACCTACCTGTTCACAAATACTGCCTGTAAAGAAAGGGAAACAGTAACAGGATCCTTGAACACCAACTTCAGTATAAAATATTTTGGATAGCTATCTAGAGAAACTGTGACCAAGATGCAGCTGATACAACATTGCCAGCTACAGCCCAGAATCAAGGGTCTGTGCGACCCTTCAGTTAACATCAAAACATGTTGGCTTTCCGCAGTATCCTGAGGGTCTTCCTCCAATTCATGTCTCGAAAAAGCAACTGGAATGACATGTCTGGCTCCATGTGGATGCTAAATTCACATGTTCTGAGAAAACATTCATTCAAGGATGCTTGTTACTAGGGATGTTGGGCAACAGAAAACTGACTTTCAGGTCAGCCTAGGGAAGGATTTTGTTTGGATTAAGGTCTAATCTGTGCTCTGAAGCAAGGGAGGTCCTTGGAAGCATGAGGTAATTGAAAGGACACTTCACAGAAGAAGAGCAGCTGCCTGTGTGGCACGAGACTAGACAAATAGTTTCCAGTGCAGTGTCTCCACTGGCTCTCCCTGGCACAGAAAGGCTGAATGTGCTGAGAGAGGGAAGACACAGATGAAGCCGTCTAATGGTTAATGTCGTTTAATTCTCTCCAAAATGTCATCTCATGGATAATGGCTCCAGAGCAATTATTTCAAGGCTTAAAACAGTATGGTTGAGAATTACATGACTTAAGGTTTCCTTGCAAAATGGAAAGATTATATTTTTCAGGTTATTTAGCCTGCATTATTTATCACCCAAAAAAACACAACCTTGCACTTTGATTGCAGTGTAGATTATATTGATGTGCAACAATACAAGAAGTTTGGCAGCTGGAGCCTTTCCTCCTGGCTTTGATTTCTCTCTGCTTTCTATTCAGTCTGTGAATGGTTAACTGGAACAATCATGTTGGGTTGTTTCTGCAGTACCCGTTTTGTCAAGATGGAGGCTTAGATGCATGAAAAGCATGGCATGCTTTGAGCATGAAGGTAGCTACTTAACTTCTCCATACTCAACTTCTCAATCTAGTGAAGGATGAAAATGTTATCCTACCTTCTGGAATTGTTACAAAGCCAAGGGGTTTGCTTTAAATCGTGCAGCACCTTCCATGTCAGGAACCCAAATGGCTTTTTAATAATACAAGCCTTCTTGCTTTACAGGAACAGTGACTAATGGCTAAGACTATCCCAGTGGGAAGGAAGGAGAAGTCAATGATTATTCCTCAGGAATACTGAAGTGCCCCTGGAATAAGCCAACATTCTTCAGTAATGCTCACCAGTAACTCTTTATACTCCAACAAACTGTTTCCCTACATGAAACAAAAGTTTTGTTGCTTGTTTTGTATCGTGTCTGGAAAGTGCAAGGAAGAGCTCTTCTGGGAAATAAATAAAAGAAAAATAGCCTTCTCTAGTGTTGTTGACTTTGTATGTGAGTGAGAGAGAGAGGGAGAATGGAAGGAGAGGACTTCATTTTGAGTACCAAGCAGCTGTGACCACCTGGGTGAAAGCCACTGGGAGAGCTCTTCAGCAAAGCCAGCCGTCGTATGTTCCTTTCCACTCTGGGAAGGCAACCCCCATCTAACGTAGAGTTCAAAGAAGCATTCCCACCTCATAAATCACCCACTAGACTCCTGCTGCCTGTGCTGCTCTTTGGAGAGGAATATAAATACTCCCATGTCCTGTTTGTACAGTTGCCCTTTAAAATTGGGATTTTTTTGTCCTGTGAAGAGGCAGAATCCAAAAGGGCAGATCCTGACTGTGTGGCTGACGCAGAGAGCCAGTGCTGCCTCTTGTAGCTTTGAGTCATGGAGTGACCTGAGTTTGAAACCTCCCAGGATGGTGGGTGAATTATACAGACTCACATACCATCTGGCTCTGAACTTACCTTTTAGGCTGATTGTTTTTTCACCTCTCTTCTGTGGGAGAACATACAGGTTTCAGTGTCTGGGAATGGATCACAAATATTTAAAGCTCTTTATTTGGAAGGTCACTGGTCCAAGTACTCCAACTTTACATTTATCCCAGTCCTTGTAATTAATTGTTGGCACATTGTCTACTGCTCTTCTCCTGGCTCAAGAGGTTGTCTTCATCACTTCTTTATTCAGCACTATTTTCTAGCTATTGAGATAAAGACCTCTTTTCTTTGTCCCATGCTTATTGGCCATGTAGCACAAGATGTAAATTCATGGCTCCTGAGACAGAAAGGGAAAGGTATAGATTGAGATGGAGCTTTCCTTTGTTGAAAGCCTGTTTTGCTGCACGGTGAGCACCAGCAGATGGAAGAGTGGCAAAAAAATTCCTCTCCAGAAAGAAAAACAATGAGAAGCAAGTTGCACAATATTTGTTTTTTAAACCATGCCAAAAAAGGGGATGGATTGAGGGGCAGTCTTCTGAGGTGAGAGAGCTTGAGAAACTCCTTAATCTCACTGAGCAACAGGACAGAGTCGGTCTGGGTGCTGCAGCAGTCCTGCACCTCCATATCTCCCTGGGCACTTGTGTGTGGATCTTGCACACTGGAGAAACATGTTGAGCTGTGCCCAGAGTCAATAGAAGCTGAAGAGCTCGCCTAGAGCAATGGACTTATGAAATAAAATAGCTTTAATGCCAGAGCAGCATTAAAGACTGTCAAAGCATGATACCATCCAGGACCATTGCTTGAGCATGTCCTTGTTTTTCCACTTCCTCCCTTGCCGGACTGCATTCATCAGTCAGGTCAAAACAGCTTATTGGAAACAGGATCTCTTCCCAATTTTGAATCATTTTATCTGGCCCCAATTTTTAATTTGAACTGTGTACTTTGGAGCCCTAGCTCTTCTGTGATTTGGAAAATGTTTTTATGGAGTTGTGTGTGTGTGTGTGTGCTGCCATGCTAGCAGTCTGCTGAGCCAGTGGGTTCAGCTGGAGAGGAGAACATCAAGCTGGGTAAGAAACAGGAGAACCAAAAGCCACAGCAACTCTGAATCTCTAAATGTGCAGAGAAATCTTTACCTAGTGCTGAGTCATCTAGGCCATCATGATGAGTCCCAGTGCTATTTAGGGTCTCGTAATGAGTTGTTCTTCATAGAGTTAATTCTTACTTAATATGATCTAATATGTTGTGGCTGTTCAGCCTGGAGAAGAGAAGGCTGAGAGGAGAACTTAGAGCACCTTACAGTGCCTGAAGGGACTCCAGGAAAGCTGGGGAGGGACAGAGGGACTTTTTGCCAGGGTGTGTAGTGGTGGAATGAGGGGTAATGGTTTTAAGTTTAAGAGGAGAGATTTAGGTTGGACATTAGGAAGAAATTCTTCAGTGTGAAGGTGGTGAGACACTGGCCCAGGTTGCCCAGGGAAGCTGGGGCTGCCCCATCCCTGGCAGTGTTGAAGGGCAGGTTGGATGGGGCTTGGAGCAGCCTGGGCTGGTGAGAGGTGTCCCTGCCCATGCAGGGGGTTGGGACTGGATGGTCTTTAAGGTCTCTTCCAACCCAAACCATTCTATGATGCTGTGACCTATGATCAAGTGGTTCTTCTGGCCCTGGAACTCAGAGGGTACCATGGTACTTAGGGACTCACCATGTGTCCTTTATTGCTAGAATCAGAATAATTAGAAGAAATGTTCTTGCTCATTAATATAAAATCCACTGGAGTGAGTGGGAAAAACTTCACAACTTAAAAAGTGGAATGTAAAATTTGTCATTGCTCTTTAAATGGGGTAAGAACTTCATTTTGTTGTTCACAGCTGCCTTGCTTGTTGTGTGTGTTGAGATCTATCTATGCATATAGAACTAGCACATAATGGACTTGTATTTGTTTTGGTTTCATTAAAGTTATATTATTTCAAACCTTTTTGAACCTGTCCATGTAAGTTGTGCAAAATGGCACCTTGTGGGGACAAATCTGTTTCCCTCTATGGGAATGAGACCATAGAGTTCCCAACTGAGGTTGGAATATGAACAGTTTCCTGCTGCTTGATTTCTAATTACATAAATGGAAGGGGGGAAAAGTGGAAATTCTAAGTACCAAAAGGCATGTTAAATTTAGTAGAATACACTCATCTGGAAACTATCACATTTTTCCTTCTTTCTTAAGCCTGCTGAAATCATTGCTTCATCTTAACTGTAGCATGATTTGGATCAGTACCAAGAAGTGCAAACAAGATAGGCCCAAAAAAGGCAGGTGTCCCTACCCAAAATGTAACAAGACCTTTTGGTGGAAGTTACTGTATCACCCCAGGGCAATTTTAACAGGAAAATGGTGAGTAAAGGAGCTGTACCACTATCTAGAAGGGAAAAACAACAACAAACCAGCAGCTGTTTGCTGAATTGAACGAGTTTTGAACACTTAACAACTCCCTAAATGCTTGACTGGCCACAAATCTGACTCTTCACAGCTTGATGAGATGTCAGCTGAGGCTTTGAGATGAATAAACAAGTCACAAAAAAGCAGAGACTGCAGGAAAAAAATACCAAGCTGCTTTTCTGTTGTTTATCCGAGTTCTTCGTGTTTGATCAAGATACTGTAATTTCTTTGTATTTCAGTCCTGCCTGGGAGCCTTAGCCAAGAGCAAGACCTTGCTGTATGAGGTGCTGTACACACAAATAAAAACCAGGCTCTGCCCTGGAGAATTTACAAACTAAACAGATGGAATTAAGGGAGGTAGAAAGGTTTATAATTCCCACTTTAAAGATGGGAGAAGCTGTAGCCAAGGTCAGTGATAAGTCTGGGAGGGAATGTGGCATTCAGCTGGGGCTTTAATTTGAGCCTTGAGCCACTGACTCATCCTTTCTGACTGTTTTTTCACTTGGCAGGTTATGGAGTCTCAGGGGAAGGCTGCCCACTTCATAGTCTGGGAGACTCCAGAAGGGTATGTTCTCCAACCATTTCCTTTCCTCAAATTGCCCCAAATTCTTAATGGCAAATCTCTGCTAAGTTAGACATCCTGTTTTACTGTCCTGGAGGTGATTCCTTATAGAGTCACTAATAGGTGTAAACCACTGAGATCCTCAGTATTGACTTTGATATAAATCTGAATCTGATAAGGAGAGAAAATATTGACATATATTCTTTGGTGTAAGGGTGGTGAGACACTAGTGGAGACACAGCAGTGGTGGTGTAACTCTACTCTTCCAGGGGGTTCACACAGGTGATTCCCCAAAGGGGTTTCCAGGTATTTTACCAGGTTCTCTCGAGTTTTTGGAACATGACAAGAGAAATCACAGAGGTGCTTGTTTGCAAATGCAAACACTGGGTTCATGGGTGGACTGAAGAGGACTGTGGTGGTTGTGGTAGTAACCTCCACGAGTTATAGCTCTTATGCTAGAAGGGAGAGGCAGAGCTGGGGAATTTATCATCAGTGCCCTGCCAGGAAAACCACATTTTTCAGCAGTGTTCTGAATCAGTGAGGCACTGCTGACCCTTCCTTTTGCTCTGAGCTGGCTGGGGTTTGTTGCTTTCCCTCCTTACCACACACACCCTGACAGTAAGCAATCAACTTTTTCCTCATCTCTCACCCCACTCCTGCCTTTATAAATGGGGCCAGTGCAAATTCTGGCACTCCAGCCCCAGTAGGCAGCTGTAGGCAGTGCTTACTGTCTCTTTACTGAGAGTCCAGCCCCTAGCCCACCCACAGTGAAATGCTGAACTGAGTTTGAAACTAAATGGGAACATAGTTTATGGAAATTCAGCTGTGAATGGCTGTTTCTCATGTGACTTCTGGCTGTCAGCGCTTAGTTGTCCAGCACTGCTTTTTGTTCAGAGCTGGGTGTTCCTCCTGGTGATGGATACCCACCTCCTGTAGCTTAGAAAGATGCTGAGAAAGTTGTTGGTGACTAATAAATCACTTTTCATCCATAGTCTTTATTGTTAGTGCTTGTAGAGGCTCCAGCTCTGGGTTAGGAGTGTGTGCCCCTTCCTAGAAAAGGTCATGTCCTTATCAGTTCAAATTCAGTTCATAAATCTCTTGTCGTAGGAAGGAGTATGTTTCTTTTTAGAAGTTTTAGAGTATATTCTTCCTCCCCCTCAGTGCTGCAGTTAAGCTTAGTAGTGACTAACAGTTTAACCCAAAATCATTACTAATCCCATGAACCCTTCCCTGAGGGTTTAGGAGTTCAGTTGTGATGGGCAGCATCTCAGCTTCCCCCCTGGAAAAACAGAAATGCTGATACTCTCCATATGGTCATGGCTTGACGACCTGCTTCATTCCCTGGTAAAATTCCTGGTGCAGAATGGTGGCAGATAAATAACTGCTGGTGGGTGGGTTGTAAATGGAAAAGAAAGTGGAGCAATGGAGATTTTGATATAGTCAAACATGAAGTTTGACATCCAGGCACAACAAATGCTGATCACACCTAGAGATCACAAGGACTTTGGGAAGTTACAACACAGGAAGTCCCACCTCAACAGGAGGAAAAACTTCTTTCCTGTGAGGGTGATG